ACCATCTGTCTAGGTTGGCTGAGTATGGTTGGGGGTAACCCTGGGGCCCCTGGATACTGCTTGGGAGGCCCAAAAAGAAACACATTTAAAAAATAAAACTGAACTATTGGGCTGGAGAGAGCACAATGGGTATGGAGCTTGTCTTGCATGTGTCTGACATCACTTCAAATTCCACATACAGTCGCCAGAGCCCTCCGTAAGTGATTGCTGAATGCAGAGACAGGAGTAAGCCTTGAGCATCCTGTGCTGGGTTTGGCCCCAATACCCGCCTCAAAAAGCCTCCCAAAGTGGTAATAATAAAAATTAATGTTTTAGCTTATTATTTTTTTAATGTAGGAGTACTGGATGTTTTAGCTTATGATCTTTTGAATTCTCTAGTGTCTTATAGAGACATGGGCCATGCAACCTGCATATTCATTTACTCTTCTAGAGACAATCTGCAATTGTGCAATCACTTATTCAACTAATATCCAGAAATTTCTAGGGGTGTCCCTAAAATTTCAGTGATGCTTGGGGCACAGTTGAGGTTCTGAGACACAGCAGGGTAAGTCCACAGTCCGAAAGACCCCCAAACCAGACTAGAGGGTCCATGAAGATGAGGGAAGAGAGACAGAGAGACAGAGACATAGCCAGAGACATAGCCAGAGACAGAGACAGAGGCAGAGACAGAGAGACAGAAAGACAAAGAGACAGAGAGAGAAACAGAGACATACAGACAAACACGAGCTAGCGCTTCCTGGAGTGAGAGTGGATGATTAAAGGGAAATATCAGCAGTATCTGAGGGGATCAAGCCCTTGAGCTATCTCTGAACTTCATAAACATAAGAAAAAATGACTGAATTTGGAAATGTTTTAGAGCTTTGGATTAGGTCATTGTTTTTCAGCTATTTTGCAACAAGGGGTCATATTCCCAGGAGTATCACCAAGGGAGCCACGGGTGAAAACCGTGCATATGGATGCCTATGGCACAAGACTAGGGGCCAAGAGGTAGGATAAGGGATCCACAGTCAGAAAGAGGTTGAGAAATACTGCATTAGACTACTTCCACTGTCACTTGGTCTCAGGCAAATTAGTTAACACTTCTGAACTATATGTAATAATAATAACAACATCCTCATTACTTGGGAATAATAACAGTAACAAAGTCATGAAAGTTTTATTTAGGTAAAGGTAAAGGTAAAGGCCCTCCCGTTGATCATCGATTTGCTTGAGCGGGCCCAGTAACGTCTCCATTGGAGACTTTGTTGTTACTGTGTTTGGCATATCTGCGGGCGAGATACTCTCGGTAGCTTGCCGGGCTCTCCGAGAGGGGCAGAGGAATCGAACTCGGGTTGGCCATGTTGACTGCGTGCAAGGCAAACGCCCTACTGCTGTGCTATCGCTCTTAATCCATGTGAATTTAAGATAATATCTTGCATCATGATGGTAACAAAAGAAGTATCAGCTCTCAAAATTGCTGTTAATTTTTACTAAGCTACTGATACTACATCAGATATTATGCTAAAGAGAGGGAGGTAGTGACAGCCAGGACACTTTTTTTGTGGGGGGATACACTCAGCAATGCTCAGAGCTTACTCCTGGCTCTGCACTCAGGGATGACTTCTGGCAGGCTTGGGATATCATATACGTTGCCAAGATTGAACCTGGGTCAGCTTCATACAAGGCAAGTGCCAGGCCATTTTTGATTCTGTCACTTACCAGTATATACATCCAGAGAGATATTAAAGGTCTTATAGACTTGGGAGATACTCACCCTTACAGTTTTCTTCTGTTTCCCTTTGGAAACTGCCTTAGATTGATTCTCTAGAAAATAAATAAGAATTTTCATTTGTTGGCAAATAACCCCTCAATCCACAGAGATTTCTGTAGTATCTGGGGAATTATCCAGCAGAGAATTATGAATCCACTCATAGTCAAGGAGCTAGTTTGAGACTCATTTGTAAATTATCTTGAGTAATGACATGCAATATTAGGAGCAACAATTCATAATTTTCCTACTGATGGTTTATAAAATGTGAACTACATCAGTGGTGTTGGGTTGAGGCATGTGTAAATCACAGAGCCAACAATACTGTAAGCATGAGACCCAAAATACAGTAATTAAACTTAATGTGATTGCTAGGGCTGGAGAAATAGTACAACAGGTAAGGCACTTGCCTTGCATGGGGCTGACCAGAGTTCAATCCCCAGTACCACATATGGTCCTCTGTGCATCACCAGGAGTGATCCCTGATCACAGAGCCAGGAATAAGTCCTGAGCACTGCTGGGTGACCCAAAAATCAAAAATAAAAAGGAAAGAAAAAAGAAAAAAAATTGCTTAGAGCTGGGCTGAGTGGTGGGAGGGAACTTGGGGACAGTGGTGGAGGAACTGATGTTGGAATAGTGTATACTTAAACCTCTATTGTAAACAAATTTGTGAATCACAATGCCTTAATTTTATAAAGTGTCAACTAAACCCCGCGCGACATCTTATTATGACATCTTATTATCTCATTCCTACTTTGGACAAACTGGCAGGCTACCGAATGTAGCCTGCCCACACGGCAGAGTCTGGCAAACTCCCCGTGGCGTACCCAATATGCCAAATACCAGTAACAATGATGGGTCTCATTCTCCTAAAGAGCCTTGAATATAATCTCAGGGCTAGGATGAAGGAGACGTTACTGGGGCCTGCTCGAGGCAATCGACGATTAACAGGATGATATGTGATTGTGATTGTGATTGTCAACTAAACCCCATCATATCCTCATTATATTCCTTTAAATATTTTTACTTTTCTTTCCCAAAGAAATACATTGATTGGCTGGGGAGTTGAACTGCATCCACTTAAAAGAGGTGTGACAACTAAAGTCTAATGTACACTTGACAATGGTGGTGGGACTGGTGCTGTAATATTGTATACCAAAAATGAAACTAAAACTTTGTAAATTAATAACTTTGTAAATTATGGTTCCTTAATTAAAAGGGGGTATATATATAAATAAGTTAAAAGGGTTTTTGGGGGGGATGCTGGAGAGCCAGTAGATCAGGTAGGGTGTTTGCCTTGCACACAGCTGACCCTGCTTCAATCTCTGGCACCTAATATTGTCCCCCAAGTCCTTCCAGGAGTGAACCCCAAGTTCAGAGCCAGGAGTAAACCCTGAGCACATTTTTCAGCCTTTTCACAGTAATTGTAAACTTTGTGGAATGTGGCCTGTTTAGCTAAGGGGAATCATAAGTCTATTTTAGAGAGTTTGATCATTTTGACCCTGTGTTCTAACTGTGCTATTTGAGTAGAAGAGCAAGTGACCATCCCCTATCTCAAACATACAGAGTCCTAGTATCATTTTTTGACCCTATGTTGCTCAGTGACAAGTAGTAAGGTTGGGTGTGTGTGATCACTCTATCAAACCTCCTTCCAAGCCTAACACAGACAATCAGGTAAAGCTTCGGGTCATTACCTAATGTGTGACCCTGAAAGATCTTTTTATTTAACTTTTTCATAAATATTTTGGTTCATTAAAAGTGTTTATCAAGAAAAAGAACTTTACAAAAATTAATGTTGCAAGCATACAGAAATTCACAGAGAATGATACTGGAGACTTGGGTGAGTCTAGCCAGATCTCAACATTGGCCCACTACTTGAGATTGTTTTGAGATCTTTATTCGAAAGAGAAACAAATGTTATAAGCCAGCCATAGCTGAGATCACCTGTGCAGACCTCGAGATTCCTGGCTTCCTCATTCACAAATCCATTCCTGAATTTGATGTGATTTAGTCTCAATCAGGTTTTCACATATTTTTGGTGGGTGGGGGGTGGGCACATTCAGTTGTGCTCAGGGTTTACCTGATTGTGCTCAGGACTTATCCCTGGCACTGCACTGAGGGATCACACCTGGTGGGCTTGGGGTACCATATGGGATGCTGGGGATTGATCCCAGGTTATCGAATGCAAGGCAAATTCCCTCCCTTCTGTACTATCGCTCTGGTCCCTAATTCAGGTTTTTATACATTTTCCATTATGGGCTGGAGCGATAGCACAGCGGGTAGGGCGTCTGCCTTGCACGCAGCCAACATGGCCGACCCGAGTTCGATTCCTCCGCCCCTCTCGGAGAGCCTGGCAAGCTACCGAGAGTATTCGACATGCCAGACACAGTAACAACAAAGTCTCCAATGGAGACGTTACTGGGCCCGCTCGAGCAAATCGATGATCAACGGGAGGGCCTTTACTTTTTATTTATTCATTATCTATAAAAATATATAGTCACGAGGGCCAGAGTACAGGGGTTAAGGCACTTGCCTTGCATGTGGTTTACTCTAGTTTCATGGCCAGAACTGCATATGGTCCCTTGAGCACTGTCCCCAGGAAGAAGTTCTGAGCACTGTCAGGTGTGGAATATGTGTGTGTGTGTATGTATCATATGTGACAGTGGTCGAAACAGTATACCATGTGTGGACTAGGTGTGCAGTAGGCTATAGAATCTAGGTTCAGATGATTAAACTCTATGACATGTGCAAAATGATGCATTTAATGCATTTGACACATTTCTCAGAACATCATTAAGCAACGCATAGCTATATATTCTGTTTCCCATGGTTATTTTTGTGTAAGATTAAAATATTTTTGTTATAGTTAAGGTAACAGATTTACAACAGTGATTAACACTTATGGTTTTTATACATACTTACCATAGTTACCTCGATACCAACAAAGGGCCCAGGGCTCTCCACCAATATCCTTATGTTAATTCTAGTTCACCTCTTCATTCTTCCCTCCGTCCCCCTTACTTGGTAATATTAGTAACTCAGGACCATAGATTATGAAAACCTATGTTCACAGTTTTAGGTTTCAGGGTTTTATATGAATGACCTCTGACTCTACCTAATTTCTGCATCTATGTTTTTCACTCAGCCATGGTACTTTTTAAGGAAGCAACTTCCTAAGACTCTGTCCCAAGCAGCTGCATCCCAACGCAGAAGAAATTAAGGGAACCCTTTTGAGGTCTCTCCTGTAACTCACTCTGATTCACATGTTTAGAAGTATGTCCACAGAAATTTATAGCTGAATTATTATGATTCATGAAAGCTGGAAGGGAGACCTTGAAACCTGGAAAGAAGCAGAAGTTTGGTTCTTTAGAGACAGTTTGAGAGGGCAGGGAGATTGATCAAAGATCTGGAGCATATGTTTTGCATACAGAACGCCTGGGTTTGATTGCAGTTACACCTGGTCCCCTGAGCATTCCCAGGAATGATCCTGAGCACATAGGAGGTGCGTGGCACAAAACCAAGCAAGTAAAAAAAGAGACTGAAGAATGCAGTGTGAGATGCTGGGAGGCAGCATGAACAACAAAGCTTACCACTGTGACAGACTGTGTTGGTACAGGAATTCTACAAGGACCAGTAGAAATGTGTGGGATCTAGATATGAGCATCTCTGGGGCAACTCCTCATCCCCCACTCCCGCCCGAGTCCTACAAAGGCTGAGAGGACACAGTGCCCCAAAGCTTCCCTGAAGAAAAGGAAAAACTGGTGCACTTGCTGCTGTCGAAGCATCAAGTGCGGTGTGTAAAGGAGCTAAAGGACGATTGTGTTTTCCCGAGACTTCACTGGACCAAGAAAGTTTGTTACCAAGCCCCGACATGATCTCATAGTTTCTCTTCAGGTATACACAGGTGGTTTTCTCGGAGTACAGCATATTTTTCCATTGTTTCTCAGAGAAATATTTAGAAATATCCTCGAAGGCCTGGAAAAATATATAAATTCCAGTTGCAACTCAATCAAATATGTGGTTATTCAAGTGGGATTGCTTCCTCTTCCATAAGATCTCTATACTGGGTCTATAATTTGGAGATATGAATCCTTCCCAGTTGGGGCTGGAGAGAAAGTATAGTGGGAAGGTTGCTTGCCTTACATGCAGTTAACCTGGGTTTGATCCCCAGCATTTCATATGTTCCCTGAGTACTGACAAGAGTAATTCCTGAGTGCGGAACCAGGGGTAACTCCTGAGCATCGCTGGCTGTGGTACCAAACAAACAAACAAAAAAATCCATCCAAGTTAATAAAAAAAATCCCTCCAAGTTAATCATTGCCAACAAGGGGACATGAGTAGCATTCTCTAGTCTCTCCCCCTCCTGGCATTCAGTAGGTGCTTAAAGCTGGCAGCACTCTTCAGAATGCACTGAGAGTCATCAAATGCAGGTCAAGGTGAGAGACCTGTTTGAAAAATACTGGAAGTGGAAAGTTTTGGAGTCTCTGGCTTTCATGGTGATATCCTGATTCTTATCTCCTCGAGTGCCTCCAACTTCACCTTCTCAGAAATCTTATCAACCCAGCACAATCCCCTGGGCCTCTCCTCTACCCCTTCTAGATCACTCACCTTGGATTTCTTTTCCTGTCGTCTGTGCTTGTGATCCTGCTGGCCAACTTTTTCTAAGAGGCTGTTTTTGCTCATGGTGCTGGAAATGCACTGATGTCAAAGGGACCAGGTCTGAATTTCTCCAGTCATAGGTACGAAGTTCCTGTAGAGACAGAGAATCACAGAGGGAAAGCCATGTCATTTGATGGAATAAAGGTTCTATTTTCTTTTCTTTCCTTTGGTATGTTGAACCACATACCATGGTGGTGCTCAGGTTTTATTCCTGGCTCTGAGCCCAGGGATCATTCCTGAAAGTGCTCAGGGGACCATATGGGGTGCTGGGATTGAATCTGGGATTGAATCTTGGTTTAACACATGCAAGGCAACCACCTTAATCCCTGTACTACTGCTCTGGCCCCTTCTCTACTTGAGTGTAGTTTTATTGAGGGCATGTGTTCTGAACTTAAGTGGTGGGGGAGGTAAGTCTCAGAGATTTTGTGGTGTTTATGAGCTTAAGTTTGTGGGAAGGAGAGTCTTTGTTCTGCTGGAGAAATGAAGATGACTAAACTGAGTGGTTCTGAGACTATTTACTATTTTCAAATAGGAAGTTAGTGAAGAGTGTTGGCATCTCTGTAACTGCAGGACTAGCCATTCTCAAGGAGAGACCTTGTTAGATTTAGTAATGCAATCTGGCACTCTCGGAACTCATGTTAAAGGTTATTGGGGCCGGGCAGAAGCGGTAGCACAGCTGCAAAGATGTTTGCCTCCCACACGGCCCCCTGTGTTCGATCTCCGGCATCCCAGATGGTCTCCTGAGTACTACCAGGAGTAATTCCTGAGTGCAGAGCCAGGAGTAACCCCTGAGCATCGCCAGGTGTGACCCAAAAGCCACCCTCCACCCCCCGACCCTCCCCAAAATAAGGTTATTAGGGAGAGTAAGTTTCAGAATTTTTGAGGTCAAGACTGTTGTTTTCTCTCAGGGGAGATCATAGAAGCATGTTTTAGGTAGAGACGATGATCTACAGTGGTGAAAGTTTAGGGGCAGCTGACTCATTTGCGCACTTGAGATTTGGCTGTTTTAGAAAGAACAATTAGGGAATTTCACAGATTGAAGACTCTTTTCACCACAGCCTGGTGAGAATGTTTCCGCCTCCCATACTCCATACTGCTCGTTTCTGACCCAGGCGCTCCCGCAAGGCTTTAATTGGTATCTCTCATTCCTAAGAAAGATCTTGAGAACACTGCGAGACAGGGCAAAAACCCAACCTCTTGAGATAGAGGCTCCCAGCTTTCCTAACTCCCCCCATTAATCTGTCCAGGGAAATTCGCAGAAAACCTACCGGCCTCGACAAGGAACTCTGGGTAGAGGGGAAAAAATCCCACAATTCAGCGATCCATGGCAGTTGACCAATAAGAGCAGTTAGCGAACTTGATCCGGAAATCAGAGATCAGGGTATGGGAAGTACACGTGAGGTAGATATAGGGTCTACGAGTCTGGGTTGCAGGGACTGTAAGAGCTTTTGCAAAGTGGGCGGAGACTGATTTGCTGGCTGGAAACGAGACTGTTACTAGATGTCAGCAAACAGAACTGACCGTCCATGTTCCATAGGTCCATAAGTACGCATGCTCACATGTTCTCTTGCCATTGGGCTGTGCTTTAGTTTCATTTTAACTGATAGTACTGACAGTGCAAATCCTTCCTGTAAACCTCCTGCAAACTTTTTTTTGAAGCTTTCTAGCATTTCCCTAGTAACTTAATTTTTTTTTTCGCTTTTTGGGTCACACCCAGAGATGCACAGGAGTTACTCCTGGCTCTGCACTCAGGAATTACTCCTGGAGGTGCTTGGGGAACCACATAGGATGCCAAGGATCGAACCTGGGTCCACCGCTTACAAGGCAAACACCCTACCTGCTGTACTATCACTCCGGCCCACTTAAATTTTTTTAAAGTTTTTTTTTCTTTAATCATATCCACAAAGTTGTTGTTGTAAGGTGATTACTGTTCATAGATTCTAGGAATTAGGATCTATTTGATTATTTCTTTTAAGGATTTTTTTTTTAGTTTTTGAGCCCACACAGTGGTGCTCAGGGGTTACTCCTGGATTCTTGGTGGTGCTTGGGATACCATATGGGATGCCAGGGATTCAACCCGGACCTACCACAGACAAAGCAATCATCTTATCCACTGTACTATTTCTCCAGCCCCAAAGATCTGACTATTTGTGTGGGGTTTTTTTTTCTAACAGAATTATATATTCACCACAAAAATGTTTGCAGTCCATTCCCAAATCTCTCAAGCCATTGCAGTGCCAGCTGAAATCTAAAAAGCGCAACAACTTGAAAGTACCACATCTCATCATCTAAACTAGTTATGGAGAGAGTCATGAAAATAATTCAATGGCTACAGTGCATACTTTCCCTGCTGGAGGCCCTGGTTTGATCACCAGCATTACATGATCCCCTGAGTACCACCAGGAGTGTTTGCTGAGAACTGAACCAGGGAGTGCCCCCAGAGCACCCCTGGATGTGACCACAAAAACCAAAGAAGAAGAAGAAAACCAAAGCCATAAAATAGTATGGCAGGAACTCTGGGTGTGATCCTTCCTGGTTTAAAATTCCCCTCTATTCATAGATTTAGACACTAGGAAACAAATATTCAGATCCCAAAATACTTTGGTAGGAGAATAACTATAAGCATTTCTACTTCAAACAGGAGAATATAGAAGAAGGGAAGGAGTCACTTGTTCCAAGAAATTTCAAAATCTAGTATGGCCAATCCTATTGGGTTTAATCCCTGGAAATAATCCTCTCTGACTCAAGGCTTTGCTCTCTGAACTCACAGATGTGCTTTCAGACTCATTCTCTTGAAGTTTTTCTCTTGAAGGGTAGCAAATGTTTACAGTTGAGTAGTATTAATAGCCTTTTTCTTGTCTTTTTTCTTTCTCCTTTCCCATTAAGTGTTGTTATCATGGCAGGGTGTTGGCTCTGGTGCTTGCACATTAGTTTTTGGTGTTGGTAGAACCTGAGAGTTTCACATAGGGTTGCAATGCTCTTTTATGGAACATCACTGCTTGCCAGGTCACACTCTTTGTTGTGGTGGTTGCATACATTCTGCTTTTCATTTTTTACTTACACCTGGCTCTGCTCTCTGAATTGTTTGGGAGATCATATGGGATGCTAAGGATTAAACCCAGGTGAGCCGTGTGTAAGGCGAGCACCCTTCCTAATGCACAATTGCTCCAGCCCTCTGCTTTTTATTTTTATTTTTGTGTTTTGGGGCCACACCTGGCAATGCTCAGGGCTCACTCCTGTCTTTGTGCTTGGGGCTCACTCCCAGCAGTATTCGGGGACCCTATGTTTAACCAGAGATTGAACAGGAGTTGGCAGCATGCAAGGTAAGTGTACTATCTCTTTTGTCCTGTGACCAGTATTTCAAAAAGGAAAAAGATCAATGAGGTGTTTGAGTCTATAGAACCTGGAAATACATACTGCTGATGCTTTTGTCATTAGCAGAGCACACAGGCTGGTACTTCTGAGATTTTTTCTTTTTTTGCTTTTTGGGTTAGACCCAGCGATGCTCAGGGGTTACTCCTGGATCTCACTCAGGAATTATTCCTGGCAGTGCTTGGGGGACCATATTGGATGCTAGGGATTGAACCCGGGTTTGCTGCGTGTAAGGCAAACACCCTACCTGCTGTAGCATTGCTCCGGCCCAAGTACTTCTGATATTTATGAGACAACTAACTCAGTTTCCCAGGTCCTCTGCCATCTCTGTGCTGATCATGGGGACCTGCCCAGCCCTTGCGAGTCTTGGTGAAAATGCTTTGTTGGTATGAATATCTTATGCCAACAGCCAACCTCATAGAAGGGTTGGCTGTGCAAAGCTTTCAGAAGGCTTAGAAGAATGAGAGCAGGGGAGTAATCACAGTAGCAAGTAATCAAAAGGTCAGTTCTTCAGAGTAAGTCTTCTCCTCACAAATCTCTGACCCTTCCACCAGCTCTCTTTGACCTGATCACCTACAAATTTACAGTGGTTGTTTCATGGACTTTCTCTTTTTGTCAGTTTGGACCCTTGGCAAATCAAACCCCAGCTCCTCTGCAAGTCATTAAAATGCTTGCTGCCTAGGGCTCAGCCAGGGAAGAGTGGCAGGGTTATCTGCACCCACACTCAAGTCAACTTGATGGGGAGGCCCACTTGCCAGAGCAGGTACAGCAGGAAGGAGTGGTGGATCATTAGAGCAGATGAGATCAAAGTGTACTGCATAGGTAGCGATTCTGGGCCTTGGAGCCTCTTGAGTAGCTCATAAGTAAAGAGCAAATTGACCAGCTTGCTGGGGCGAAAAAAAACTTAGCACTTCTTACCCTGTATGATATGGAAGCAATTCTGACCAGCATGATGCTGTTGGTCAACCAACAACCATCTGTGTTGGAGCAGGCTCCTAGAGCTACTCCAGGAGCAAGTTGGTCCTATTTATTGACTCTCTGGTGAGTTTCAAATTCATTGACTGTTGGGGATGGAGAGATAGTAAGTGGGTAGGACATGTGCTTTGTATGTGGTCAGCCCAGGTTTTGTCCTCAGCACCCCAAAGAGTCCCCTGAGCCCCAGTAGGAGTAGTCCTTGAGCACAGAGCCAGATGCAGTCTCTGAGCACAGTTGGATGTGGCCCTAGAACAAAAACAAAGTCATCAACTATTTTGGACTATGAACACAAACATTATTACTTCTGCAATATAATTAAAATATGGAGACCATTTTCTTTGGCTAGAATGTTCTCAGCAAAGGCTCAGATGAAATAAGGTATCAAGTAGGCTCAATTTCTGCACCAGAGTCCATGACTTTTTCGTATGTTCTCAGCTTCCACTGGAAGTCAACTCTCCTTTTATTTCCCTAGGCAATGTATCCTTGAGCTTCTCTGCAAGTGAGCATTTTAACCATCTCCTTGCTACGTCATAGGTACCTTTACCTTCTTGGAAAGCTGTACTCTTGTTCTCTAAATACCACCAGCAAAGACTTTCAGGTGGATGGTGCTTTTAGATACTGGAAAGAAAGGAAAGAGATGAACAATCCCAAGATTAGCAACACATTTCAATTTCTTT